TGTGCAGATTATGTAGATCTATGAAGAAAGCCAGTGACTTAAATGGTTCTACATTTTTAAGAACAATTTCTCGAGAGCTGTACACTATGTTAAAAACAAATATCAGTACGCACCTCAACATTCTTATCCCAGTTTTTCAGCTTTCTTTTCAGTGATTGGACCACAGTGATAAAAGCCACAGCATCTGATGTCGAAGCTCCTTCAATTGTCTGCTGTTCCATATCACCTCGTGCCTTAAAAAGAAGAGAACAAGAAAATGAGAATAATACTGAACAAATAGCAAAACTGAATGCAGGGAATAGAAGAAATGAAGAAAAGGGAAACAAGAGAGGAATAAAGAAAAAAAGGTGACTGATTTAAGAAAGGAATTACATGTAGGCTGGTTTGACTGAGGAAAGTAGGGAAGGAAAAAAGGATAGTCACAGAAAGAGTGGAAAAGACTGGATGGAAAAAGGAAAGGAAGGAAAAGAAGGGATAAAAAGAAAAATAGATGAAAGGAATAGGAAAAGTGATTCAAAACCAGGCCCTGTGTGCCACTAGGCATGAGAAGGATTGGTAACAGGTAATGTACAGTACCAAGCCAAATTACCTTGGAAACAGTGCCATAGAATTCCTGGATTCCATCACCCAGTCTTGAGGCAAACTTGCTGAGTACATCTTTGTGCCAAGTGTCATATTTCATGTTGACTTTAGACTGAACTTGAGCAAAGTCAACTACAACTGGACCAAACACTTTCTTGGTATCAGAGGTGTCAAAGGTTACACGTGATCTCCTGTAATGATCAACAAAAGTAATCAATAACAGTATATTATTACCATTATTAATAGTACAGATAAATTAACTAACATTTCACAACATTTGTGCTTCTTTTGTCACAAAATTCCAGGCCTTTTCAAGTACTTTTAAGCACAAAAATTCAAATTTAACTATCTTTAAGAGATTTCAAAATAAATAAAGATACTGGGAGTCGTTGCTGAGTCTCCCTAGTCAGTGGCTACAGTTATGTACCAGACACACTCTCACTCCACTACATTGATTGTTTTAGCACACAAAACAGCTATTTTTTTCTCTGTTTTTTACTTCAATATCATCATTATAAGAACATACTTGATTTCCTTAAGTACTTTCATCCACTTGCTAAGATCTTCGCCGAGCCTGTTATAGACATTACCAATATCCATATCCCACAATGCCTGGTACTGCAGCCACATGTGTTCATACTCTTCTACTTTAGCAACTCTTTCTTCAACAGCAGCGTATGCCTGTTCAAGTACAACAGGTCCCTCGGGCAGCTTAGCAAGAAGATTCCTGTAGGTGGTCTCTGATTCTGATTCATCACGCTCAACCCCAACCTGTTTAAAAACAATATCAACACCTATTTAGCAAACAATGTCTATTCTAACAATGGAAGAATTCACATTTGAATGAAATGTTTAAATATTTTGGCATCTCACAACACTAAAATTTAAAAAAGGAAGTGTTAAAAAGAGAAATGATGTTGTACATGACAGCTCACGTAGGTTCAGTCTAAATAAAACATTGAATACATTGTTGTACTTTGTTTAAGGAATCATGCATGTACATGTACCTGATATCTTGAGCTTTGTATCCTTGGCAACATAGTTATAATGCCGACCCATCTGTGCATCTCATTGACCAAATGCTCTCTTGCTCGTTCTACAGGAGGTCGCATGAAAAGCACTTGGTTCTGGATGCAGACTTCATGGATTGATTGCTAAAGATGAGTGAATCAGAACATTATGAAGAGGACGATACACACAAACAAAAGTTCACTGGAAAGTTCACTCATTGTAAGCGAGTGTGCAAAGGGCAACAAGTTTATTAGTCTTTGTTTATCAGTTCATTATTACATGCTGCTTTTCCTTTCTCTCTCTTCATTATTTTTGTCTTCCGAACTGTCTTAGAGCGGATTTCGTATGAGTGGGAAACGGACGGTACTGTACTGTGACCGTAATCATACTGTAACCAAATTCTAGTGCCCCATTGTTTCACCAAAATTTTGCAGGCCAGGTCCAGTAACTGTGCGGTAACCGTGCGGTAATGGTGTCCCACTCATAGGAAATCCGCTCTAACACTAACTTACAAGGATGTCTGGATCTCCACCAGGTTTGTGTGCTGCAAGTGATGCAGTATCAGTATCATCAAGGTGCTTGGTGCTCTTGTTTCCTCTTAGACAGTCAGTCCAGCTTTTGATACCAGCCTGAAGGCGACTTGACAGACGCATCTCGACCTGGAAACAAGTACATTGTACATTTCCTTTTAACTGCATTGTAAGNAACCAATGGAGCAATGGAGTTCTTATCCTCAACCTTTTAATAGAAGAGAGAACATTGATACACAACCAATATGCTTGCATTTCATTTTAATATCACCRCTTCTTCAATAATCTCTTCCTCATCGAAAAGTGACTACGCCATATCAATTTTTTAAAAGRCCTGAATGAACATTTTCAAAAAGATTTTTTGATATTCCAAAAGTTTYTTTTTTAGGTTCCTGTGGTAGGCCAKAGGGTTGCCAAATGAAGTGTGGGATTCCTGTTGTTTACCACAGGGTACCCAAAAAGCACTGTTTATAAACCTCACCTTTTCACATGTTCTTTCATAGGTTCTCACACTCTCAATCAAAGAGATGGCAAAWGGATAGAGCTGGTTTGCTTGATGTGCCTTGTTGACTATTGCCAGTGGAACACGGAAATTCAACCACTTCAAGTTGCGGACCTCTTTTGAGAGWGTGATGATTTCAGGAAGAAAGTTAACCTTCAGRTTCAGGACTTGTCCTCTTCCACCTCCTCTTGCTCGCTGGCTRTCYATGGTGAAAATCCTGCCAGATACTCCAAGGTTCCTCTGTTGGACCTAGAGTACATCAGATACAATATTATACTCTTCCTGAAATATCTTCCATAAAACATTTGAATTAAASTCAATTATTATTGTTATATGAACAATAGGAATTGTAGAATTTACAACTTACTTTTCTTGACCATTCATCAAAGAGTTCCTGTGTGTTTAACTTCTGTCTAAAGCTGTCTCCATCAGCTTTCAATCTCTGACCTTCCACATGGTTTTCCCAGCCTTTGCCAAGAACATCTTCYACCCTCCTCATGTAAGCTGACAGCTGTCGATCTATTTGCCTGGCCCATATGATAGATCCTGAGACTGGTGGCAGATCACGCACCTTACTCATTTTACAAGCTCTACTATGTGGATATTGGACCTAGAATGCAACACACAAAAACACGTTTTATTTGCTTTGTACAATCAAAACTGAACAAGACATACACCATGAATTTACCAAAGGCTAACTACATTGTATCTCAAAGATTTTCAAACCTATTCACCTTGAATTTGTCATGTAAAGCTTCGATATCATCCTTCACACGCTGAATAAGTTGTGTTTGGTATTCGCGGATGGCTCCRCTGATGTGRGGCCTCACAAACAGGGCATTGAACCTGGAGAAGATTCTGAACATCTCATTGGCATTTTTAGCTGTGCCAAGTTGATCTCTTAGTCTTGCAGTTATACGAGTCTCTACTCTGTCAATYCGCTCATCGTATCTGTGAACAACAATAACAACATCCATTATTTACTGCTATATCATCATCATCATCATCAATATCACTATGATAACTGTCATCATTTTACAATACCTTTTAATAGCAGCCTCCCAAGCTTCTGAGCCTTCCTTTGATACATCAAGACCATCAACTTCCTTGACATTCTCATAAGCAAGGTTCACTTCCTGGATGGCGTTTGCATCAGCTGGGTCTAACTGRACATCAGACTTAGCTTCCTTCTTCTCTTGAGCAGGAGCTACTCCAGGGGGACCCCCCTGAGGCTGTCCTACAGCAGGAGGTTGAAGAACGCGCACAATGACAGCACGAAGTTGCTCATGTTGGTGTCTGAACCTGTTAAGAAGTATTGAGATCATCTATAAAATCAAGCTAACTAGTGCACTAATATTTTTACACTTACTTTCTCATCTGCTCAAGTCTAGCTTGTAGTCGTTTGTGAGCTGGGTTAACTCTCCAAACCATCTTTAGGCTCTCCTCTCTRTTCTTCTTCACTATGTCTCTAAGAAGACCTTGTAATTTCTCATACTCATCATCCCAAGTGGAGAAGACGTCAAAGCAGGCCAACATTATCTAAATGAAATATTGAAAGCTATGTGAATGAAATATAGAATAATGGGAATGGATAAAAAAAAACTCAAAAGAACCAAATGAAATGAATGAATGGGGCTCTTTTAGCTTGGGAAAATGGCTCTCGAAAGGTTTGTGAAGAAATAAACAGATTATAAAAAAAAAGAAATGAATGAATGGGAAATGAATGAGTGAATGGGAAAATGAACAAAAAAGAAAGAATGCATGAATGGGTTACCTTTTCAAACTCATCATGTGGGATATGCATCAGTCTTCTTGTGCCAAGAACCTAGAGAAAAACAAATTATTCAGTATTGCTATCAAATATCCTCTATTTTCTCATTGTAATGACAGTAATATCAAATAATACCTTAAGGAGCTGGGTGCTAAGGTCTCTAGATATCGCTTCCACCAGCCTCAAAGCTCTRTGGATGGGATATTTTGTGCTACGTATCTTTTTCAGGTGTGTAAAGATTGCATTTATCGCAAGMCCTATTTTGTCCAGTTCAGTGGCAGAGAGCAAATCATCCAAAGGAAAGTCTTTCATCAGTGGACTATAATCATTAACAGTAGCCAGTGCTTGCTTTAAACCTGGAAAAAATAACAAGGACATCAAGGGGGGGTCATGTCACAGAAACCAATATCATTGGCAAGACATATTGAAGTGATTAGAGTGGATTTCGTATGAGTGGGAAACGGAGGGTACTGTACTGTGACCGTAATCGTACTGTAACCAATTTCTAGTGCCCCATTGGTTCACCAAAATTGTGAAGGCCAGGTCCGGTAACTATGCGGTAACCGTGCGGTAACGGTGTCCCACTCATACGAAACCCGCTCTATTATATAATACAAAGTACTGTAAGTGCACTTTTTTCCATATCAAGACATGGTTCAAGTGTTTTTTTAAATTTACTGATGATGACATTTTCCTGTATACACATCTAGTCACTCATTGAATCACAAAACTAGGTGATTACTATGATTAATRTCAARAATAATCACTWWTCAACAAAGTCTGTRYACATGGTCTAACCTGTATCYGTGTCAAAACTGACAGTTGCATGAAACCTCTTGCCATGTTTCAATATATCCAAGGTCAAKGCAATGTCTGGACTCTCTCTGATGTCRTGGATTCTTAYCAAAGCRCTTTCCAGATTCAACCAGAAGCTGATCTCTTGTAGRGCTGTACCTGATGCAGGATCACGATCAAGTTTTGTGACCTATGGACAACATGTGTATGGTTGATCTATATTTCTAGGTAATTATCATTATTGTAATGATGATTGTGTGCTTCCAGGAGACAATATCATGAATAATTTGCAAGTAAAAAATGTCTCAGACTAGACTTCTAAGAACAGTGTCTTTTGCATAAGCTATCCATGGTATGCTGCTCTTTTTGTCAGCTCTCCATTTTACAGCTATTTAAAGCTACTCATAAAAATAAAAGAAGTCAAAGAAAATTAATGATGTATACCTTTTGTATCTCCCTTATCCATCTATTCACACCATTTTGAAGCTGATTCAAGAATGTTGAATCTTCCACCTTATCTCCAAAGTCTTGTACTTTTGGTCTTCTYTTTTCTTCAGCTGAGCATTTCTTCACCATCGATGTGACTTGCTGGTGAATTTGAAGAGAGATTTCAGGGATGTCGATGTTCTGTTGCAAATGCAGCAGTCCCATTTCCAGTTCTGCAATCTTCTTTTCGACAGAGGGAACCATCTTGTCACCATCCCTGCCATCAAAATGTAAGTACATTTAGCATATAGCATTTAGAATATTAAATATGGAGGGYTTTTGTCAGCTAGAAGTAAAATGCAAACTGTGATTGGCAACAAAGAATACATTAAAATAATGGGAGTGGGAGTGTTCATAAAATTTGGCTGGAAAACGTAAATAAAAAAAAATTTCAGAAAACCAGAAAACTCGCATATTTTTTTTTCAACAATATCATCAGATATATAGTACAATATGAAAGTCATAATAAACGCAAATAACGCATATCAGCCAACGCCTTCTATGGATAATTGATGTTTTTCAATATTGTACATTTCAATGTTGTTRTTACCTGTCTGCTTTTCCAGATCTTCTGACAAAAGATTTAAAATACGGCGAAACAGCATTGCTAATGTAAGAATGGAGTGTTTCATAGGGRGAACCTTCACTTAAGTTAAACARTCTAATCTGTGAAGCAATTTTTTTGTCAGCTTCGATGATTGCGCCTCGTTTGATGAAGGCAATGCTGGCGAGCTTTGGRCCCTCGTAGTGTACATCGAGATCAAAAGAGTAAGCAGCTTTCCCGTTGGTTTCCGYAGTAGCAGTCTCGTCTCCTTCTTCTTCGTCCTTCAACGGTGTCTTGATAACAAGAAGACTTCGAACTTGGGAATCAGAGACATATTTATTGATATAATCCAAGTGCAAAGACTCCTTCAAGGCAGTGTCTAGCTCTAGAGGAACCTCACTCTCGCCTTCAAATAAAGGCGGGATAACTCTTCGTAYATAGCTCAAAAAATGACTCGTATCTACAACAGAAGCTTCCTCTGGGGCTCCTCCCCCATCAGAGGATGCGTCCATGATGCCTAAGAGCTGTTTTCCAGCTAGGCGTAGCTCTAAAAATCAAAATTTTCCCTGCTTCTTCGTGTTGCTTTCAGGGAAAGAACATACAAGCCTCGACTTGGTGATCCACGTCGGTCACCGGTACCACGTGATAGAAACACGTGACTTGTCTAGACGTTCTGCCGAGAAAGACTAAGCACTAGTCTAAATTTATGAATTGAGTTTGAATTTTGAGCTTGTTTTTGCGTCAAAATATTTGCTTATTATGGGACGAAGACGGTCAAAGAGAAAACCAGAACCCAAGAAAAGAAGAGAGCCTTTAGATGTGCAGTTCAACTGTCCGTTTTGTAACCACGAAAAGTCATGTGAAGTGAAAATGTAAGCAAAGTACTAAAAATATCCATCCATATACTGCAAACATCATGTCTTGATGCAATATTGTGTAATCATTCCTTAGAAATATGTGATTTTAAATGTGAATTAGGGCTTGGGTATTAGGGTAGTTTTTAATGGCTAATTCTTGGCTCATGTTGAAAAGAAATAGSCTGTGCTTTTGTTGCTTAAAAGATGGCACTAGCTACTCCCAAGGGACTACTAACTTACAAGTACTTATGTATGACTACTAAAGTAGTCACCCACTAACGCTATTATTCTTCTCTTTCAGTGATAGAATAAAAAACATGGGCTATATATCTTGCCGAGTCTGTCTAGAATCATTCCAATCMGTTGTTAATTGTATCCTTGAAGTAGTTTTTGTTTTCTTGTAGTGGTATACTTTGATTAAGCACTCTTCTTGTCTTGCCCTAACAGTGGAGTACAGGCATTCATGGGCTATTGAAATTGAAATTCTCGCAGACCAGGGACACTCGACTTTTACTMAAACAGGCCTCCCCTTGGGTGGGGTTCCTTTACATTTTGCCGAGGGCTTATTCAGAAAAGCAGTATTTGTCAATGTTGTGATCTACTTCTCTCTGTTAATAGGACTTTTGCATGAAATAGTCACATGGTGCTAAATCCGCCATTCTAGATGGCAAAAAACGCTATCTGGGAGGTTCAAAATAAAGAAAAGTCAAGRTTGATGCATTCCTTTTGTCTTTTAGGTTGTTTATATTCTTTTGCTTTCCAGTATAGCGGATTTAATAATAGTACCATGTGACTGTTTCAGGCATACTAAAAAATGGAACAGTCTAATTTATTAAACATAGCACAAGCAACATGAAGCATGAATGCTGTACACTTTTTAGTCCAACAAAATATATTTTTGAGATCTACAGAACTGGTTTAGATAAAAAACTACAGTTACAATGGGAGCATTTACAAATATTGACTATACACGTACATCCCCACAGTGTGCAATATTGACCTGCACCCCCCCCCCCTCCCTTCCCCTGTAGGGGCAAGACATTGATAGGTACYTTATCTTCTGCATCAACAATAATAACCCTTACGGCATTTCCCATTATTTTTCTTTTTTCCTTCACTTTAACGTTCAGATTTATCAGAACCAGTAGATGTGTATAGTGATTGGATAGATGCCTGTGAACAAGCCAACCAATGATGTACCAGCACAATCCTCAAGACATGTACATACCATAATAATCATTCGAGGCTATTTTACTTGAACATCTGAATGAAAGATGAAAGACTTTTGTATAATATTGTGTCTAATACAGTGAAACCATCAAGATACCTTTTCCTCAAAAGACGCTCAAAAAGACGCCTTTCATGAATGGACATCTTTTCCAGCTATTTGATTATCATAAAATTTGTGTAAAAATAAACCAGATCTCTCTGCTATCTAAGAAGAGATAGCCAGCCATTAAGCTAGTGTGAGATGTGTTTATCTACTGACATTTTAGATGTTCCTTTTTACATCAACAAGAAACAACATAAAAAACTTCAGTATGTGTTCATATCTATACTTGTAACCTCAACGGTTGATGGTTCCCCATCTATATTTGTACCCAAGGGGCCTGGTAGCATGAAGGGTGGATAGTTATCCAATCCATAGATTTTTATGGATTTTATCCGCGGGATAACGATTTACACAGTGGATAGCACTACTAACCTTTCGTACAACCCAAGTGCATGCTGAAGATTTTCATGCATGAGATATACACTTAATGTTGCGTTAAACCACTCCCTTGTGATATGGGTTTGATTTATAGTGTAATYTTCATAGTGGTAAAGCAAAGCAAGACGGTGTTTGAAGGACAAATGGATTTCGCGGGTTAACTAATTAAAACAACTTATGATGCGATGATTGTTGATATCCATGATGAAATTATTCTGTGATGTGCGTGGTTTGACTCCGGCAAGGTATTTCATTGGAGGCATGGGGTTTGAAGAACTGCTGGATTTCGACAAATGTTCTTGCAGATTTGAATTATTTTTTAAGCGTCTCCGTGTCGCTATCCATTTCAACAGGGGTCTACCCTGCTACAGTTTTTAGGTGAATCGTGATCGGCTTTTTCATTTTTGCGCAAAACGTGATCAGCGGATTATCTTTTTATTCGTGCATCGTGACTGACGGCTTTATGCATTCTCAGCTTTTTGTACGTGATCCCGGGCGTGATCTATGAACAGAAACAATATTGCTTAAGTTAATAATTCTCGTGACTGATCGAATTGACTTTCCGTGACCGCTCAGACAGTCGACCGCTCATCAGTTGACGGTCGGTGGTCCTCTTATGAATTGATCTTTATCCAAATATTACTAACGTATTGAAAATGTAAATGCATGCYCTTTATGTACTCTCTTTTTACGTGAAAATTAAAAATTTTGCTGCGTCACCCTTTTATGATTCATCGTTTTTTTTTATTTACAGTATGGAGCATTATGGGTATTCAGATGATGTCCACAATACTTTGCGAACAAGTTTGAGCATGCGTGTTTCTCAGTTGGCTCGATCAAAAATGGCTGAAATCCCAGTAAGTGAAAAATTAACAAATTATTGCACAATTTCTCCATATATTTTGAAAACAATACTATCGYTTTATTCCTGAAGCAACCCTGCAATTTTTAAGTTTTTAATCTGATATTRTTMTTCGTGAGATTTTGTGATTTGGAAGTTTTGTTTACGTTTTGYTATGACAGTTTTCGCTTCTCCCGCCTTGTCTTGCTTACTSCAAGATAGTTATTARTTTCCTACTCCATAAAGTTACATTACARGTCCTGATTGTTATTTCTTATATTATTCCAGCCTCAGAAAGAGAATGTTGCTGAAGAGCYTGACTTGCAAGGTAAGGATTCATTGATTTTTAACGGGGTATTTTAAGTTAACTTAAGCTTATAAGCTTATTAAGAAAATTTTATAGCTTTTTTTTCTTACTACGAGTCTTCTTGTTCTTGTGTAGCAGCTGTATTTGTAATCCTTTCCCTTTTTTATGTGTTATTATATTGACATTTTTGTTATTCTGTTATTTCAATCAATGAAATTATTTTCTCAACTTGATGTAAATTTTGATAGACATTATTAACAAGTCTCCATGTGCATATAGTTGATTTCATGTAGTAAAATGGATCATGTCACTTCTGCYGTTTACCCAAAAAAAYCATTGAAAGCTCTTGATGTGACTGTCCACTGTACGTACAGTGACTCACGGAATCCACTCTCATAGTCATCTCTAAATAAAGTATTCCTATTTTTATTTTTCTCGCAGATGTTAGCTCCAATGGAGACTCAACAGATCAAGACTTTGATATCACTGCGGACATGATGGTTCATGATATGGATGACGAGACAACACTAGAAGAAGAAGAACTCAATGAAGACTCTGAAAATGTTGCTGATGAYCTTGCTGAATTGGAGAAGGTGCCGATATCTAAAAATTGTTTAACAATGAKTCTTTCCTCTCATGACATTGTGCTATGTTTGGCAACATATACCATGGAAWTGGTGAAAGTACCAAACAAAGCCACATTGTTGTCCTTGAGGCTGTTATTGTTGTGTCTTTAAGCTTTTAGATTGTGCAGCCATTATATTGATCCCATTTATTTTGCAAYGAAACTTCATCACACTAGTCTAAYATATTTCCATCTTCATACAATACTTTTGRCTTTACCATTTTAAAGTTTAGTTTTGCACTTTGACGTAATAGTATAGCATGACAATAATAAAATTCTCTGATCTTATGATGGATTGAGGTGGATTCTAGAGTAGAGCCCTTAGCCTTTACATGCAAAAAAATTAAAAAGTGATACACAAAACCAGTTGTTTTGATTTCAATCCAAGACATGAAATCTAATACAAATACAACTTTTTTATTGATTATATATTCACTCTCGTAGGAAGGAGATATGCCAATTGAGGATCTCCTTGCCATATATGGTTATACAGAGGACCCTGCTGACCAATCAGAACCAGTTCCATTAGAGGAGATAAAGCCAGATGCACTTCCCCCCCTGGTCAGTGTCAGTGGTGAAGAGTATGGAAGCCAAAGTAATGTAGAACAGGAGGGGACCCATCCTTTAGATGATGGTGATGACTCTTCTGTAGCTTCTCCATCAACTCAAGATCAGTCTGACTARGCGCCCTCCCCTCCCCCAGCTAATAGTAAAAATGATGTYTTTCCTGAAAACCAGAGGATCACTAGAGGAAGTAAGAATACATTTTCTTTTCTTGTTTTGACTGATTGATTATAAATGATTGATTGACTGACTTATTAAATAAATGATTGATTGAATGTTTGATAAAAGTGTTTACTATCACGTTGTTTGATTGAGTAACTGAATAATGGATCAATATTAATTTCATAAACGTTTTTATTTATGGACAGTTCTTGCAGCTTACAATTATTTCAATCTTGGAGAAACGTCATCCTCTGATGACGATGATAACGAATATAATCCTGAAGAATGGAAAAAGGTACMTTATCAGCGAACATACACAAGAGAATACACAATGATATTATTATTAATGTCCATTGTTAATACCACTGATCTGTTGATATTTGATAGGAGATACGCATGGGTCCAGACCATCAGGCAGAAGTCCCAGAGTCAACTTGCACAGATGGAGAATGTAAGCATGTTAGATTCAAATTTCTTAGAAAATTAGAAAGCCTCTTGTAAAGTCTAGTTTGAACTATTGGTTGGATGTGCATATTGTACATATATACGGATTGTCCAATACTCTGACAGCTTGTATTGTTTTATGTCCTCATAGATCAATATAATGGATTTGATAAGTGCCTATGGAATCCAAGAGAAATAAATGAGAAAGAATGTAAGTACACTTAGAGTCATAAATTTTCCTAGGTTTTAACTTTTAAGGCAGTCAAATATCAAAATCTTAGAGTATCCCACTTTGTAAGGGTTGCGATTAAATGATGAATTGCCTTTTCAGTGCAAACATATTTAAACACCATCAGTTTTCCCGTGGATTCCGATGGAATCAAGAAAGATGTCATTCGTGATGATGAACAGGTAAATTTGACTTTAATTACTGATTACTTTTGTCTGTGACTACCACAAATTACAAGAAAAGTGATTTTCTAACCTGAAGAATTTTAAAAGCACTGTCTTGGTATAAAAGACTGTGAGAAATACGTACTTTCAATGGTTTTAAGACATGAAAAAAATATCTTTGGTGTTTTGTAGGCTTTGTATATGCTTCTGCAGTGTGACTATGACATCCGGGAAGCTTTAAGAAAGAAGAATTCCCAAGGAAATCCAAAAGCAGGTAGGGACATGAAACATTTGATTGTATTTCACTATATTTTTGTGACAGACAGACAGTTTTGAATGGATTTTCTAATGGATTTTCTGTTGTATTCTAAAGAAATGACCTTGTGGTCAGAAGAYGAGTGTAGAGATTTTGAAAGTGGTGAGTATTGAAACTTTTATAATAATATAAAAGCTATATAATTGATGTTCACAAAATTTTCTGTCTTGTATCATTTACATTTTTTCATGTTATCTATTCAGGTCTTAGGATGTTTGGTAAAGACTTTAGGCAAATACAACAGAACAAGGTACATGGAAGACATCTATAGAACATTGTCTCTATCTGACCAGCTCTTGCTGTTGTTTGCATTAATTTTGAGAGCAAATTGGTCCGCAGCAAAGAGGCATTGTACATGTACATGGAAAAGAACACTTTCCATACCTCTATGTCCAGATCATAGAACAGAGAAGAGTTTGATATTACTTATGATTTTATTGTAAGGTTACCTCAAGGACTGTTGGAGAAATAGTTCAGTTTTACTACCTATGGAAGAAGACAGAAAGACATGATGCATTTGCATGTCAATCTCGCCTTGCAAAGAAAAAGTACTCCTTCCATCCTGGAATAACGTAAGAACAAGATTACTAGTAGATAGTAAAGTTATGTATTTCTCTAGTCAACTCTCTTATACTGTAATCTATTTGATATATTATTCTGACCGACTGCATCCTTGTCTACTTTTACTTTACCAAACTAAACTAATATATTATCTATCTATGAATGCAAGGAACTACTGTACAGGATTAGTTATTTTAATTGACTAGACTTTCTTTTGTCTACCATAGATGCCTATTCATGTTTTTATTGTGACACTTGACCGCTTCTCTCTTATAATTCTATGTATTTTATTCTATCTCGCTCATTCCCTGATGATGCTGTAGACAGCGAAAGCTTGGAGTCATTTATAAGATCTACACTCAGCAGCATCAACTACATTCATACTTCTCTCTATCAATATATCTATCATACTCAACTCTGTTCAGCTGCTACCTGACGTTTTGTAGTATACTACAATCCATTGTACTTTACTCTATATTTCTACACTTTATCAAGATCTTTTCAAAATTTTTTCTTTAGTGATTACATGGACAGATTTCTGGATGACAATGAGAGCGCWGCATCAAGCCGTGCATCAAGTCCACATAACTTCTCCTCTCGTCCACGCGTTGGCAATGGCTACCTTTCAAATCAGGCCTCAACAACATCCAGCACTCACACCACGGTTCACAGTGTTCCGTCAGGATCCAGTCACACAACAGTGTCCATGATGTCAGGCATGTCGCACTCTTCCCATAGCCATAACCACCATCACCATCATCATCATCATCATCACACACAGGGATCCCATGGGTCAACACAAACATCACCAGGAAAACCTCCACAACTTTTGCAACATTGCGTCCCAACATCAGTTATAGTATCAAGTCAAGAACGCAACGAATCCCCTGCAAAACGACCWCGCATGGATCATGAAAATATACCCAGATTAATCAGTAGTACAAGTAGCAAGCCACCTCCTCTGAAGCCAATAGCCTCAACAAACCCAGGTAGCTRAGTACATAAGCCCAGTTTTGGAGACAGGTCCCACATGGTAGAGAGCACTCAAAATATACACAGATCACAAGGTAGTACGWCAACAGATTTAACCAGGATAACTGGGTCGGAGTCATCATTTCATCATAAAGCATAAATTAACATAATAATTGAAACTATATGGTGCCTTTTGTATCTATAAGAAGTCTCTGGCCTTAACTTATTTTACAAGAATTGGTCAAAAACAATGTCTTTCACTTGAGAGTGCTCATCAAATAGAATAATTCACTTATATGAAGTACATGTATGTTACAAAGTTGTGATAATTCCACTATTGCATTCAAAAACACCCTTTCTGTTTATTTTAAACTATGAATGGCTTTCAAGTAGAAGAGGTTATCTTCAGTATTTCAATTGCCTGATATCAACACATTAGACAGAAAATGCAATGATTATATCTGTGTCTCCTTGAATATTTATGTTTTTGTAGTCATTTGTCAAATGCAAACGTGTTCATCCAAGAACCTTTCACAATCGTTTCTTTTGTTTTCCAAGGACAGTTGATATCTGATTTGTTAAGAATCAATTATTTTGATTTTTCACATGCGATAAAATCATGCAATGGTTCTCGTCTTTATTTCTACTCAAAAATCTGARAGACAATTTTGTCATAATAGAAAACGATAGACATAATCATGCCTAGAATCAAGATTTTTCATTGTTTTAGTGATTATTAAGTTGTAAGTTATTTACTAATTTATGAAAAATAATTAAATTATGTTACGTAATGTTTTCCACATATAGCTTTGAAATGCATACCATGTGTACATAAAAACATAGGAGGTTGGGCAGCCTGTGCCAAGGACTATTATTCAGGTGTATGTAAGTCATTTCTATAAAGAAAAAATGATGTTGAGAGTAGTTTGTTGGTTTGCATTTTTAAATTATTTTCAAGGTATATGTATGCAATTCACAGCTACCTGACAGATGAAATCTTCATACGTAGACTTGGTGTGAATTGAGGTTTTTCCTATTTCAAATTACTTTTTTCCTGTGATTAGCATCTATTGATTTGTCATCGTGATGCAAGACTTCTTGTAATTTCACATAGAAATGATAGAATACTTGTATGAGAAAGTAAAGCATCCAAATTACAACTACAGTAGTTCAACATTGTAATAAAAGTAACTGTTTATTTTTAAGGCCCACATGCACTGGAGAAACTTTGCAATCATTGCATTATGATATCTTGTTGAAACATGCTTTCTGATTGGTTACAAATCAAAGATAGCGAATTTAATATGTGAGAAAAGCATGCAAAGGTTGATCTCTGATGCACATGGGGCCTTTAAGTAGTAACATTCATTGTTTCAATCYGTCAAACACTGAGACAATGCACAAGAAGCACTAGATTTTGATGTGGCTTCTTAGATTTATATGTAAATAGTTATTAATATCAGGATAATTCAAGAACATTGTTTTCCAGCTAGTAGAGGCTTCCACTGTAAACCCAAATAAGAATACTAGGAAACCTGTACAAAATAAGACTGGTTTCTTCATTGTCAGAACTCTTCCTATTTATCTATTTAGGATCAACAGTTTACCAGCCTTTACTAGTAGGGAAGGAGAGTAGTTATTACCCCTACCATTAGCCATCAATGTGCACACAATTGGACATGGCCTTTTTTATGAAAATATGTTCCTAAGTGTAWAAGACGACAATCATTACTACAATGCAGTTTGTTGTCAAAGCTGGCAAACAAAACTCAKACCCAGTTGTTTCTTGCTACKTTCTCAGGCAAGATCTCTCAGCTGTGTTTYYGTGTAGAAAACTGCATTAATCTTTAGCRGTTCATTACTGAATTCTGTCATCAATTTGATTGACAGCATGTTTTGATACACAATCAAGAAATAGATAAATGTATGTAGCATATCACCCTCGCATAAGAAAATTTATTTAAAAGCTTTTATTTGATGAATATAAATTTCAATTTTCTTTTGTGATTAGCAATCTAGGTTTATGAGTATAGCATTCAAACACAATATGTGTAAAATATAATGTTATTTTACACTGCCAGTACTTCCACTAAATAGCTACTTTTAGTGGCTGTACTAGCAAACTTTTTTTAAAGTGTTTGTGTTGAAATAAATTTGTTGATTTATTGTTAGATATCTGTAAATAAAGCTTTCTATAGTGGTAGTCAGTCTTCATCTGTTTTGTCATTGTTTGTACATACAGCTGACCAGTAGTAACCATATCCTGCAGCATGGGTTACGTTCAGCCTGTTCCCCACCTCTCGCAAAAAAAAAATACGGGCATTCCTTTTGTGTTCCCGTCTGATCTTTCTCTGTTAGTTCACCAACATTCTGAAGAACTATAATTTTTTTGACTGATATACAAATTCCTTCTTGAATGGTGTCTTACACACGACTCCAAGATTTGGAAGTGTGTAGACGATGTGTGATTGGCCAATGAATAAGGTTTGAACTTTAAAGTTATACTTGCAATAGTGTAGTCTGGATGTTGTTATTTTGGCTGTAGATGTTCTGTCTTTGTAAATGAATTTCGTGCTTGGAGATTCCTGCTAGCCATGCTTTATCTTTAATCTACAATAGGATTATCCCCTCTTTGGTGTTGATCATCACCACACCTTTTCCCCCCTTTGTGCTTGGATATCGTCCTCAGACTTTCACAGAGAGTGTGAGGAAGATCATAAATTACTGGTGCATCTTACATAGTTTTGTCCAATCCATTATGGTATTCATTGCTAAGACAAGTGAGCATTATGATCCTTCCTGTGAAACCTACTGTTAGCATATATATCTCTACAAGGGTTTGACTGGTTTTTTTGTTGTTGTTTTTTTCTTCATTTGCATTTAGCTATAAACATATTTGGTGTAGAAAATGCTTGTAGCAAGATATTTGCCTTGCAGTCTTAGTTGTCATGACTTGTAGCCCAAGCTCATAGAGAGTGGTATGTTTATACAAGGCCAAGGTCTCAAAACTTGTGTTTTTCCTGTTTGGTAACAGTTTCATGTTCAGTGGAGTCGTTCTTTCTTCAACCTGAATTGCAAGTACGTGTCCCCAAATCAAGAAACCATCTTTACTGAAACTTTATATCCAGCGTAGAGAACAAAACCCCAGGCTGTCAAAACCAATAACGTAAAGAACTGAAAAGACACAAGATCACAACCAGCTGATTTCAGTTACTTTTTAAAGAAATAAAAGGAAAAATTCAATTCCAACATACCAGCCTAGGAAGATAATCCTTTATCCTAAAATCCATGCGTTAATATAAGCCAAAACGTGGTATTTCTTTGTAAAAATCGCAAAAGTTAGTTCGACAGTGCAGACTTTCCAGTTGTTTCAGATTTTCAAAATGGCGCCCTAGTGATTAATCACAGGGAACCCATAGATAGTCATAAAAATTATCTTCAAAGAAAATGTCTATTATTGATAGTTCTTTATTACATAACTACCTCTAGACTAGTAATGGAAGTTTTAATATCCATAACAAGACAGATATATTGAGTTTTTTACAAGAAATCGTAAAATTGCTTTGAAATATAGTGAAAATTGGGTATCCTGTGTTTTGTTTGGGCATGCGCAGTCCTTCTCGGTGCCTTGGCAACGTTTACTAATAAATTCACGAAAACTCAAAATGGCCAAGATTTTTCTTGATTTTTAGTCATATTTTACCACATAAACAACTATTTAGAAATTTCTTAGGCCTTCTTTAACATTCTTTCAAGCTGACCAGCGCAAAATCATCATGAATCGTGCGGAAACAAGGAAAAAACAGCCTATGTAAGTACCGAATTGGTTTACAAAATCCAAAGTGCTGTAGGTTTAATAAGCTTTAACTTAAAATCGTTGTGTTGTTGATTTGACGTCTATAAAACTGATTGATATATTGTTGGAATAAGGTAAAGGGGGTAACGAAATCTGTAAAAACTATTGACATAAAAACCGAAACCTTTTTATAAATGTAAGCTTAACTTACATGTACAATTGTCCATGAACAAATAGCAACAAAAAATGCTCCCAAATTAGAAATAACGTATTTGTTTTGTATAATAGGAAACCTAGTCCCAACATAAATGCAAGCCGCAGGAGCAGTCACAGCTTCAGCAGCCGCAGGACTGTTGGTGCTGCATCTCGCAGTAACTTGTTTGCTTCAACAAGCAGAAAAAGTGTGATCATAGACTCAAGCAAACTTGAGAAGATCCATCACAAACCTCCTGTTCAGGTATATGAACATTTATATGTGTAATCTTTTAGATATGGTACAGGAGTATTATCCAACTCTTATCAACTACTTTTCCACCCCACCCCCCTGATTCCCTAGCCTTCTCTGATTGGCATAATCAAATAACTCAGTCTTGATTTCACTAAAGGTGTTTGATGAATTGGGTCAAGATGTTACTCCTAGAAGTTTACTATTTCTTGATCAAGCAGCAGTGAAGTAAGAATGTTAATATGCATGTATATAATGAGTATCAAACTGAATGATTTATGAAGGGTTTACTATTGAAATCATTGTATTATTCATTGCATTGAAATGTGTTCTTTTAGGAGAAATCAAAGCAATACATTCTTTGATGCAAGTGCATCTATAGCAACTGTAAGTTTTGAGCAATTTTTTTTCTTGTTATTAAAATTAAATTGCATGATTGTAAATAAGGTAATTTAAATGTTTTAATTACTGTAAATGTTTCAGCCCTCAGAAGTTAGCCAGTCATTCTATGCAGCCAGCACAGCCAGTATGTACGGTGGATTGACAAGGTATATGGCTTTATCAAGGGACTGCACATCTGTCATACATGTATCAAATGATTGRAATAAWTTTTTTTCCAATTTTCCAGGTCAGTGTTTGGGTCAGTGTCTGGTCGATCATCACCTGAATCAATTAGTGAAGACTTAACAGAACCTAGCAGCAGTTTTCATGACAGGTTTTCATCAAATCTTGGAGGTGAGACCATTCAAACAAGCTTGGAAAAATTAACGGTTTCTGCATATAGCAAACCGCGCATACACAGATACTATATATACGATGATGATTGATCTTTTGTTTATGTGCAGACATTCAAACTCACACAACGTTTATCAAAGAAGAAATTACAGAGGAAGATCTTGATAAGCCTGTAAGTGTTTCGAACATAATGTTGTCATCTTGATATATCATATAATTCTAAACTTCAAAATATTCTTGGTCCATAAGGTTCACCTTACTTTAACTGAAACTGATACCATCTGGTTGCTGGACCTGCCAGGAACATACATGGCAGAGGATCATGATAACGCAGTCAAGGAAAAGGAAAAAATACAAAAATATGAAGAGGTTTGGATCTTAGTTGTAAATAATTTAATAAGAATTTGATAATAATGTCAAATTGCGCTGCTGTTTATCCTTTTAGCTCCTAAAGAACCGTGCTGGTAATGACATGTATGTGGAACGAGGAATGCAGACCTTTAACGATGCACCAAAAAGTAAAGAAGTCCAGACAGACAAAGTTGAATTGTTGGTAAGACATTTTAAGATCCTTTACATTCTACCCTGCAAGTCTTTATCTCAGCCACTGATAATAACATGGTGTTATTTTCCAGGAAATTGGTTGCATGGCAACAAACTGGGATATGTATGATACCCTTGATGCTGCTGTATCTGGACAAGAAGGTACTAAATGTGTAACTATATTATCCAAATCAATTGGTAAAATTGAAGCCTCAACAATCAAAATGACACCGGATGATATCAGACAAAATTATCAGAGACTGACTAGAGCGACAATATAATTATATCAATTAAATCCAAGCAAACATGGGGATTTGCTACCAAGCTGCCAAAAGTTTGATACCAGCTTGCCACCTACCTCAGTTGAGCCTATAACCATGCATTATTACATACCGGTAATTGTTTATTTTAGGACTAAAGTCTGTATCTTCAGAGAAGTTTGAAAGTTTGAGTAGACCAGCAAGTGGTGAAAAGACAAGTTCTTATGGTGATAGTGATAGTGTTGGAACAGGTTCTATAAGGCCTACTAGTGCTGCTTCTGGGAGCATTACAGGTATTATATTCTATTATGTATTTGCTTTTGCACTGATATTGGATGTAGTGGGTGATATATTATAATGACACGGTATTTTCAGGTAGCAGAGCCAGTATGTTTACAATGAAGAGTGGTTCCTTGGATGAAATGCCTTCAGGKGAAGAAAAAGATGAAAAGACATCTGAAGAAGTTTCAGAAAGTGACAAGGAAAGAATTCTTGGGGTGTGTGATCGCTTCTAAAATTTKATTGGAGCCAGATTCTCTGGATTTTTTTCCAATCGGACATCTCCCATTCTTTTCCACTTGGTATTTCTTCATTTTGATTTGATAATTKTAATAAATGTGAATGTTATTATTTTAGTCTGACAACATGAAAGCAAGTCTGTTTGTGATGGAAAGAGCTATTGCYCAAAATGTTTACCAYTCYAGGCAAGCTCAGTTCAGAGCCTTAGAKGTTCTGCCAGGTATTATTWAACATTCTATTACTCAGTTAAACTGTTTGTTCTATGACTATGAAAGCTAAAATTACAGGTTCAGCTTAGCAGGAAATTTTTATGTTATTGTTATATTGAGATATAAGTGTTTTTTTATCTAATTCTCAGATATTGATGCTGAAACTGAAGAAGAAGAATCCACCAATGTCACTCTAGCCCAGCTAGGACCTAGACTTAATAAACTCTGGTCATACTCATGTAACTTGACAAAAGGACGAAATGTTAGCTGTACTGCTTGGAATAAACTAAATCTGGTAAGTTATTATCAAAAGACTCAATGGGATACTGAATGGATGGATGAATAAACAGATACATGGGGAAATGATTGAATGGATTGTGATTGAATGAATGAATGAATGAATGTTTCTTGTTAACTTATGATTTCTTTATCAGGATATCTTTGCTGTTGGCTATGGTGAGTTTTCGTACTCGGAGCAGAAAGGTGGTCTGGCCTGTTGCTGGAGTATAAAAAATCCTGAGGTATTTCCAATTTTGTGGCATCTATTATGTTTCTTTGTCTAAAAGAATTCATTTCAAATACAATTTATTGCTTATTTTATTTTTAGTATCCTGAAAGAGTTTTTCATCTTAATAGTGGTGTGACAGCTTTGGATTTTTCTGCTGCACATCCTAATCTGCTTGCTGTAAGTGATAT